TCGGTTAGAAAGATTGAGGACGTGTTGATGATCAAGACTGGATCGGAGAATCCGCTTAGGGATGGGTGGGCGCTTTGGTTGGAAGGGAAAGGGGATTTCCTGAGGAGAGATCGGATGTTGAAATCGAATCTTGAGCTTTTGAACCCTAAGAACCATCCTTTGCTTCAGGATCCGGATGTTGTTGGGGTTAGTGGGTACACTAGAGGGGATCGATTGGTGCAGAAGTCAATATTGAAGGAGATGGAGAAGGTTCCGTTTCCGGTCCCGAGGAGGGAAGTTAGGGTTAGGAGGAGGTTGGAGGAGGAGGAGGAGGAGAGTGGGAGGAGATGGGGGTATTTTCCGGGGATTAATGAGAGGGGGCAAATGTCGTTTTCGGAGTTTGTGGATAAATTTTTTGAGACAGGGAAATGCAGCATTAGGGTTTTTATGGTTTGGAATAGCCCTTCGTGGATGTTTGGGGTGCGGCATCAGAGGGGATTAGAGAGTGTGCTGAAGATGCATAGGGATGCTTGTATCTTGGTTTTGTCAGAGATGATGGAGATGGACTCCTTTGAAAGATTTGTGAAGGATGGGTATGACATTTTTCTAGACAATTTGGGTTTATTTACGTAGTTATGGTATCAGCTTTGTAATTGTTAGTTATAATTTAAGTAGAAAGTTGCAAGAAACAAATCTTAAACCAAATATCATAGTTGACATGAGTAGATACTGCAATGTAGTTCACTCCCTATGAAGTAGATATTATACCAAGCAGAAGTAGGTGTCGGTGCTAATTCCTCTTTCTCTTCGATGTATATGGTTCATATAACTTTTTCTTCGCTCATACTGTGAATGCTTGGTATTTCTACAGGCTAATTCAGTTAGTGCCAAGTATTTCTGTAGGCTAAATCAGTAAGTCCATTATCGGGGCTCCATAAGTTCTAGGTTTCAATCATATAAGGTGTGTGTACATTGATGTGCTACAGTACGTTAATGGGAACATGAGCATCAAAGTTATTGCTTTGTTCATAATTTTCTGACGAGTAATTTCTGATTTTCCAAATAGGAGTAACTCGAATTGGTGATGTTTTCTTGCATAGCACGACAATGTTACCTTCTGTTACTGTTTATATCTTTTTATAATGCTTGTGAAATGTAACTGATTTGTAGTGAAAGTAATCATTTTTGTCATTATGGATTCAAATCTTCCGAAGCTCAATATTTGCCTTTGTAGATTTAAAGTTGCAGTTGCCATGCCCGATCTGGATGAACTTTTAAAAGACACTCCCACTCATGAGTTTGCGTCGCTCTGGTATGAATGGAGAACAACTAAACACTATCCTGTTCACTATAGTGAGCTTATACGCCTTGCTACTCTCTACAAGTAAGTAAGCCTTTCTACTCTATATTTTCAGTTGGAATATGAAAAATCTTGTAGTTATTTGATTGTAATAGACAAACCTCTGGAATTTTCTTGAGTTATTATTAGGTTATTATCGACAAACCATATATAAGCTCCATGTCAATTAATACAAAAGTCTCTCCATTACATATTTTTTCTATTTTTTGCTGTAAGTTTGTGGTTGTTTAAGATGGCTGCACATAAAGAGGATTATCAAGGTATTGCTTATTGATCTATGAAAATGGTTCCATGAATTTTATGACATGTTCAGTTTCTAGTGATCTATGAATTCAGCTAGTCCTTGGTAAGTGTTGCAAATCTTGTGTGTTGCATATCTTGTTGATAGTATGTTCCAAAATCACAGGGCAGGTTTATTTGTCTGAATTAGATTAGAGCACGTGGAACCACCCCCAGGATTTTAGATTATGGTTCTGAACTGTACATAAAGTAGAAAATTGAAATTAAAACCGTCATCGGATCATCGTCTTAGACTTTTTCCTCTAAATGGTGAGATATGGAAGATATATCAAATATTGAGGCCCGATAGAAGGGTTGATCAAATTCTACACATGGCTTCGATCTTATGTTTCCCTTCTATGAATTGTATGTAATTTGTGGTGAAGGTACTATGAGGTAGTGGTAGCATTCATATAAACCTTCAAGTCTATGTAGGTCGACCTGCTGTTTTGTTTTTGAGCTCGCAGGAAGTTGATCAAGTGGCAAACCACCAAATTCCCTTAACTGAATGATTCTACCAGAAACACTTTGATCTCTAGCTAACAAAATACACAGTATAAGGAATTACTTTTACTTCTAGACGTGCATCACGTAGATATATTGATATGTTTGAAGTTCTCTTCCCTTAATGACAATCACCTAATACTCGCCTATATTTTTGCTCAGTAGCTCTCCTCTATTTCTACTAATGGTTTCTTGATTTCGATTATCATATCTTCTTTCTCCCATCATGTTTCTATTATATGTTAACAAGTAGTTTTTTCTTTTTCTTCTTACTAATTCCAGATATGGTGGAGTCTATCTTGATTCTGATGTTATAGTTCTGAAACCATTATACTCACTCAAGAACACTGTTGGCATCGAGAGACAAATGGATGGAAATCCCATCTTCAATGGTGCAGTTATGGCTTTTGATAAAGGCAGGTAATGTCAAAGTTTGTTAATTTTCTCCCAAATAGTCCATATTTTATTACTCTTATAGTTTAGAAGGACTTTGTTTGTGTTATTGCGAGCTTAGTGCACTAGGTTAAATTCCGTATAAATATCCGCCTGTTTAATATATCTTGTCTGCTAGTTCAGTTGCCTGCAATTGGTTTGCTTGAAACTGCTCTTTTCCTTCTACGAGATGCTGAAGCTGTAATTCATGGTTGTTTGTATCTAGAAAAAGTTTTTTTTGAATTATCATTTTCCTCATTCATATAGGTTATTCAATTAAGAATACTCACAGTTGATGCTTTCTACCATATAGGTTACTTCATGCAACTTCCATATTGACACTTTAGTTTTTGCAAATGTAGAACACAACTCATCTACTATGTTACAAACTCATACACGCAAGCATGCGCACAGCCACAAACACAAACACACACACACAACACACACATACACACACATACACTCACTCACACACCCACCCACCCACCCACCAAGGTTCTCATAATGTTATTTGCATAAAAAATCAAGTGCTTGGTGTTTGACTTTCATTAACTGCATATAAAAGTCAAGTAACTGGTGACCAAGGCACTTGCCTCTGACAAATCAAATAACTGCATATAAAAGTCAAGTAACTGATAATTCCATTGCACCATGTTGAGGCATGCGGACCTAGTGGGATTTCAACAAGGCAAGTTCTTGGGATCGCAAGGCATAAGGAGGACGCAGATAATCTCATTAATGCATGTTTTACAATCAAATATAGTTCAAAATCTTTCTTTTTGTCATCTCGTTTCAAGATACACACTGTATAGGGTAATATATGTAAAATGGAAATAGCAACATCCCATTACCTGTGTTCTTCTTTACGCAGACATTATGTGTAAAGCACCAAGTTTCATGGTTGCACATGTTGTTGATGTAAGCGGTAAAGTTTGCATTGCTACTGTTATCTACCAATGTATTCTCTGTTCATAATTTCGTTCATTTGTTGCATATTTTCGATGCATTGTTTTTAATATAAGACATGATAGTTGTTTTTGAGTAGTACACGAGCTATTGCTATCTTTTTCTGTTTCAGAAAATAAAAGGATGAACTATGTAGTTTATAGAAAAAAGGTATTGAGTGCAATTAGGAACGGATATAGCATGATCATTTATACACATGCAATTGGAAATTTTCTTCCGGAGTTAGTGTCTTTTTCTCTTGGTTCTGTTAATTTTAGCAGTTCTCAGGGAAATCGGTATATGCGGGGTTAATCAGCACATGAATTATCTTTTATTATTCTCCCTTTACTCCTTTATAATCATCTTGTTTTGGCCTTTAATAAGGACTCTTTAACATATCTTACTCGATGCATCAGTCCTTTCTTGATGGAGTGTTTGGAGGAGTTCTATTCCACGTATGATGATGCTCGTTTACATTGGAATGGAGCTGGTCTTTTAACAAGAGTGATTAACAGGCTTAATGGCAAAGGGGTTAAATTCTTTCGGCATGTAGATATAAAGATGGAACCTCCAAGCTCTTTTTTCCCAATCAGTTCAGAAAACATCCTCAGGTATATTCATTTCTTCCTCGCTTTTATGTGGTGATTTTTTGTTGTTTAGCTTGTCATGCTGGTTTTTTGTTAGTACTAGCTAACTCAGATACGGCGGCTTTTATGTACATAGTAGAATCATTACACCGAGAATCATTTCTATAATTGCAGTCATGAAATTCACAATATGTTTTATTTTTATTCAGTATGAGTTATATATATAGAATTGGATGCCCTGATCATGGTTGATTTGAGTTATATCCAGGTACTTTGCTGAAGCAACAGGTGAAATTGAAAGATCGCAGGGAGAAAATATGTTTGCAAAGATTCTGAATGAATCAACTGCATTTCATTTCTGGAATGGCTTGACGACGGCACTAGTTCCTGAACCCAACAGTCTCGTGGACAGGCTTTTAAACCACAATTGTCTCTACTGCCATGACATATTATGACCTAGTAACTACATATCCATACTTCATTCATTTGAAAACATCATGTACGATTGAAGCAACTGCTGCTGAGGTGGGTAAAACGGGACCAGGGATAATATAGAAATGTACAGGTCGCCCATGGAAAATATAGAAATGTATAGGTTGCCCATGGAAAACCGCATGATTTCTCATTTTGTCTTAGAATCCATCGACAACAATTATATGTAAAAGCTTTACGAACGTCTTCGAGTTACTTGTGCAGTCCAAAAGAGAAATATGCGAGAAGTATGTCCCTGCACAAGGATCAAGTGCATACAACAGAACCATCTAACTGATTCAAGCATAATCAGTGTCATCACATATTTTTTTTTTGTTTTGTATTTTACTATGGCGTGTTGGCCTTTAAGGATCTGGATAATTCTTTATATGTCTATTTTTAAAAAGTTTCACCTAGCATATACGTAATCAATATGAAAAATAGTAAGCGCGTGCAATACAATTGTTCTTCTCTTTTCAACATGCTTTTTTTGCCCCCTCCTTTCTTTGACAATGTTTTTGCATCACCATCTAGTACTGGCTTCTTGTTGATGTTCGAGATCACACAGTCGATGAGAGCTTTTCGTCGATGGATGCAGTTCAGATCTTCGCGCTGATGACGAAGAGGGAGAGGATGGGAGATGAGGCTGACTCCTCCGACTTTATGCGCGGTCCTTGGATTGGAATTCCTGATTCTTCTGCATAAGCAAGAAGAATGAACCCGTAAGAGGGCGGAGCTTGTTTCCCCCGTGGTACATTCGACGGTCAAGTCAGCTGGTGAGCTTGAGTGGGGTTTGAGGGAGAGTCCCGGGACCATTGAGATCCTTGTAAGGGAGCTACTCTTTTAGAGTTATCAGTTCTCTTTTTAGTAAAAGTAGATCAAGAGGGAGAAATGATCCTCAGAGTTTAATGAAGAAGAAGAAAGATCCTCCTCCCTTTTCTTATCTTCCTTCTCTTCTTTTATATTCCATTGCCTCTGAGATGTTGACCCTTGGCTCTGACTATGCACATGAGGGCGATTGTGGGGTGAGCACAGGCTGCTGAGTCATCCTCCGCTTTACAGATGTCGGCTGGTGACGGGAAGGGAAGCCATTCGAGCATAGGAGAGACTCTCTCCATAAGATCCCGGATTTAACAGATGAGGCATGGCGGAAAATAGGTCGACTGCTTAGTCATCCTTCGCTTTACAGATGTCGGCCGGGGATTAGGAGGGAAGTCATTCTAGCACATGAGGGAATATCTTAGTAATCTCTGGGAAGTGACTTGTGAGCCAGAGAAAGCTGTGTATGCACGAGATTTGTCAGAGTTGAGATCTTGATGTGTAGTGTTGATTGATGTATATCTGAAGGGAGCTTAGTTGGATCTTATCCCCTTAGTAGAGACGAGTCGGTTTTTTGAATCGTCCCTATGACTTGCCGATCAGACAATCGAGTGAGCCTTTGACCGAGTAGATAGCCAAGTAGATGGTTGAGCCGACTATTTGAGGAGTTGTCTTGATTATGAGGCGGGTGGACTCTTGAGGAGTCGTCTTGATTATGAAGGGTCGACTGATCCCGCGCTTCGCGTCGGTAAAGATGACTCGTCGCTCGGTGGGTCAATAGATTTGTTCTTGGCTGAGCTTTTGACAGCTAACCTGTCTTGGGTCATAGCTCTTTCGGGTCTATGAAGACAGTTTCTCGATATTTTTATTTTTAGATGGCGAATTACCATAACACTTCTGATAGACATTTTTATGATGGTTTTTTCCGAAAGTAGTAGGAAATACAAAAGGTTCCAGATTTGTGGTCAATTAAATGTTTCTAAAATGAAATTGCGTGAAGGAGATATGCCAAAGTGCATCTCCTTAGAGGAGGAGGTTAGGCAACTGATCCGCAGCTAGGGAACCGGCCGCGCCGAGACCGGGTTTAGGTTAGTTATAACGGCGGC